CCCCCCCCCCCCCCCCATCTCTCTGATTTGCTACAACCGTATGTCCCACCACGCTCCCTGAGGTCAGCGGACCAGTTGCTCCTCACAGTTCCAGGAACTCGTCTTAAGCGCAGAGGTGACAGGACCTTCTCTGTAGCAGGACCAAGACTTTGGAACGAGTTACCTCTGCTTGTCAGACAGGCCCCCTCCCTCTCTGTTTTCAAGTCCTGTTTAAAAACTCACTACTATTCAGTATCTTTCAACACCAGATGATCTGTGTTTGATCCTGTATGCTCCACACTGGTTTGTCGTCATTATCTGCATCGTTTTTATGTCTATATTCTGATTTACCTCATTTTGTATTTTCTTTGTGTGTTACCTGTTGTTCTGTCTGTACAGCACTTTGGTTGGCCTTGTTGCTGTTTTAAGTGCTTTATAAATAAAGTGGTATGGTATGGTATGTTTTAAGGACGTGTTTTGAATTGACCTGAGGAAGACCCAGCAACCTCTTCGTGAACTCTACTGGAGAGAAAAAACAGGCAGCTTCCAAGGCAGCATTGTTCTTTTATTCAGTGTGAGAATAATAATGATAATCATGTTCCATTTGATGAGGACTGAAGTCCTCAAGGAGGTACGGCTTCCTGAGTGTGGCAGGAAGGCTTCACTCCTCATCCCGGAGGCTCTGGACCTCATTTGATAAATTACAGAGACGCTGCCTGAGTTTCCGTTGAGAGGACTCATACTGGCTCGTTAGCTTTTTGAATTTGTTTGTCATCACGTCCACACTGTGTTCAATCTGGTTTACTTTATTCTCTAGATCTTTGGCATCTATTGCAGCAACCAGTGACTCATCTATGAGGTTATCTTTCATCAGGATGGCCCTTCCCTTCTCCTCCAGAGCATATTTAGCATCAGGATACTCTATGAGGACTTCCATCAGGTCATCTTTGGAAAGAGCAAACAGGTCAGAGTAGCCAACGCTGCGGATGTTGGCTGTTCTTCGATTTCCTGCCTTGCTACCCTTGATTCCAAGGATGCTGATTTCTCCAAAGTAAGCCCCGTCACTGAGGACCACAAACTGTGTGATTCCGTCGTCGGCGACAACAGCTAGCTTTCCTTCTTTGATGATGTACATTTCCCTGCCAATGTCCCCTTTCTTGCAGATGTAGTCCCCAGGACTGAAAACCTGAGGCTGTAGTTTCAGGACCAACTCGATGAGCAAACCCGCCTCGCAGTCCTGAAAAATACGCACTTTACTTAAGGTTTCCAGGTGGACGTTAATGGCTATCTCTGCCTTCAGCTTGTCAGGCAGATTCTTCAGCACCTGCTTCTCATCACAAGTCTTCCCCTCTGTCCACAGATAGTCAAACCACTTCACCACCCTGGCCTCCAGGTCTTTGGTGACCTTCCTGAATTGCATGTACTGCTTGATGGAGTCTATCTTGGCCTGGAACTCAACACGTGCAGCATTCATGTTGGAAATCATGGCGCCAACATTGCCTACAATTGTTGCAAAGATCAGAACTCCAGTGAGGAAGTCGGCGACCACAAAGAAGTACTCGACGTCTCTGACCGGAGGTGGAGTCTCACCAATGGTTGTCAAGGTAAGCGTGGACCACCAAAAGCAGTAGATGTACTGTCTGGTCAGGGCAGCATTCACAGGATTTTTGATGTCTGGGTAAACCCAAGTGTCTGAGCCAAAGCCAAGCACCTTGGAGATGGCAAAGTACAGGCAGGCATTCCAGTGTATAATGATTATTATGTAAAGGACAAGATTAGCAATTCGGAAGATGTTTGGAAAATTGGTTCGAGTTTCAGTCCGATCGAAGAACTCAAAGAGCCGTGCTAGCCTAAAAAGACGGTTGAACCTCCACTCTGGGTTGTTGATTCCAACTTTTAAGAACACAATGTCAGTAGGAAGGATGGATAAGATGTCCAGTTTAAACTGACGTGTCTTCATGTACTTCTCTTTCAGAACCTTTGCATCCTTTACAAGCAGTCCTTGTTCGAGGAAACCTGCCAAGACATTAAAATGTAAGCTTTTAATTTAAAAGACAACTACAATTCTGACAGAACTGGGGCTTTGTTGTGTAAAAAGTAATAAAAAGTTATAATTAGCAAAATTTATAAATTCAAAGTCAAACTAAACAAATCAAATATTTCAATAGAGAATTGTACCATTATTAAAGAAAAAATATTTTAACTTTGACATTATTGATAGAAACACAACAGAAAGCTCTAATAGTCAGGGGTCTGGATCAGAAACATCTGAACTGCTGAGCAGTTAATGGTTTTTAACGTGCTAACGCTGTTAGTTTTCCTGACATTTTTAGGTCAGTTGCTCAGTAGCTGTGAACACGCAGACATTGGTCATGGGGGGCAGGACGTTGATCACTGTTGGCTATGGATGAGCATCGTCGCGCGTCTCAACCAATGAGAGCCTTTGTTTTGTAGGGCTGCTGCTGCGCAGCGCTCACATGAACCCTGTCAGAAGCTGAGCAGCAGGACAGAAACATGGAGAAAGGTACCGGACTTTACATGGGCATTATTATTTTAAATCTGCCCGACGGCAGGCTGGATAAGTGTTTATGTAATTATTTTCAGTTTATTCTGATGCATGCTCAATAATCCAGGTAGAAAAATCTAAAAAAGTTAAGTCTGATCTTCTGGACATTCAAAAAACCAAACCAAAACAAAAAAAATCCGAAAGACTTCTTCAGTCTGAGGTGCTGTATTCAACTCGGTCTTATAAATAGCACCTTCTCAGAGTGGATCAACAGTGGATCGTTAATGTGGAAAGCGTGGTCCTGCTGCTCAGAGTGGTGTCTGATTTTAATCTTAAACTGACCACCTCTACTGCATCATCAACAGGAATGCACGTAAAGAGTGATGTGACATCAAGAGAGACCATTGTTTCATCAGTCTCCATGATGACATCCCTCACCTTATCCACAAAGTCTCAAACCAAAGTCCATGGTGTTCAGAACACCATGGACTTTGGTTTGAGAGAGGAGTAAAGGAGGCCATCTTTGTGAAAAGAAATCGACCATCATTAAACAGGGGTGGAGCCTCCAGGTTCAACTGTCCCCCTCTTACAATGCTGTGATTGCTAGTATCACTCAGCCCTCTGTGAACAGTAAACAGCCATCAGGTGCTAATGATCCATTGTTAGGCTGATGGTCCTTCTTGAGCATGTGACCAGCTGGTTCTGGTTGTCAGCAGCAAACTGGTTGATCCACTCTGAGAATCAAAATCAGAATAAGCTTTATTATAATTGGACATTTCGGAACTTTTGGACCAACACAGACTTAAGGTAGATGTTATTAAGTTCTGCCTGTCCCCAAAACAACTGTGTGTTTATTTGAATTTGGCTCCCTTGGCTGGCCTTGAAGGCCATTTTATCTGAAGTCGCCTGGAGAAAATGTCATCTGACGCTTTGTCCCACCCCCTACCATCGAGGAATTTCCAACTGATAACCAGATGAAACCAGCTGAATAAACATTGTGTCATCATTTTAGGACTCTTGGATTCCCATAGGCGTTGTCCCTGGCCATTCCCCGACATCCCTCGAGAATGTTTACGGATCTCACTGGAGGACATTGACTGATTATTCCATCCTTATCAGAACTCTTACAGTGCCCTTGAGTGCATTCTTGAACACTGCGCACTGCTCTCGTCGTCTCCCCCCACCCCCTGCTGAATGTCTACGTCACTATGTGCTTTATGTGCGAGGTGTTTTTTAACATTAGTTTTTCTTCTCAGCCAAGAAGAAAAAGTTTAATAGGATTTCTTTTTGCCTCCAATTCCTACGTGTTCCAGTTTCACCACTTTCTGTCTGTCTAAACAGGTCTCACTTGTAAATGAGTCTTCGAGGATCAATGTGACTTATCTGTCTAAATAAAGGTTGAATGAAAAAAAAAGAGCTGAATACAGCACCTCAGACTGAAGAAGTCTTTCGGATGAAAGACGAAATGTTTCTACAATTTTTTTGTTTGCTTTTTTTGTTTTTTGAATATTCAGAGGACCTGACTTAACTTTTTTTAGATATTTTCAGTTTACATATCCAATACAAGTTTTATTAATTCAAGGCAGTCATATTTGTTCATAACTTTATTATTAGTAAGCCTAAGAGTTCCTGGATCCTGTTCCGGCAGGATCTGGCTCAAATTAAGCCCTGCCTCAGGTCCTCCAAACCCTCCAAGAACTGGTCTCCTCAGGTCCTGGACATTTACAGACTGTTGTTAAAAAGAGAGAAGATGCTTCACAGAAGAAAAATGGACCTGGAACAACTACTTTTAGATGTGTTGCTGCTGTCAAATTCAAAGTTACATTTTTCCCTAAAAGTTATACAATTTCTTAACTTCGACATTTGATATATTTACTTTGTTTCACTGTAATGTGTCTTAATGAGCGTTGTTAATAAGTTTATTGTTTATTTAATACCAGCTGTCTTTGAAATGGGGCTGTATGATAAACAAGACAAATTGGACAAAAAGCTCTTGCTTCCTTCACCTGTCCTGAATCGAACAAAGATGTCAGCATAGTAGATGAGATCTGAAGTGTAATCCAAAGCCATCCACAAGGTTAAGTTTGTATACTGCAGTTCATTAAAACAGGATCTACATGGAGAAAAAACAGGTTAGAAGACAAGAAAGGTGGTAAAGGTGGAATTTAAAATGAAATTGATGCAGACCTGGCCACCAGAAAATTCAAATTGTAAAACACGGAGATGGATGTTGTGCACAGCCAGAAGTAGTACAGATCTGTGGCCGGATCCATGATCCACACCTCCTTTCTGAACAAGGACACGGGTTTGAATGAAAGACTCAACAAAACAAGATACTGTTCCTGACTGTCGCCATCAGTAATGAAACAATACTGTTTATGGCCCAACATTGGTGACTGTCCAGACCTCTACATTGGAGAAACTAAACAGCCTCTTCACAGACGCATGGTTCAACACAGGAGAGCCACCTCCTCTGGACAAGACTCAGCTGTTCACCTCCACCTCACAGATAAGGGACACTCTTTTGAGGACCAGAATGTGCACATTTTGGACCGAGAACACAGATGGTTTGAGAGGGGGGTGAAGGAAGCAATTTATGTAAAAAGAGAAAAGCCGTCTCTTAACAGAGGAGGAGGCCTCAGATTTCCACTTTCAAAAACCTATAATGCAACTTTAAGACTGATTCCCAGCCGGTTTTTACACCTGATGGGAACAGAGGGGCCTCATCTGTGAATTAGAGGAACAAAGACCTTAATAAACCCCTACTGTTAAGATGTGAGGTGTGAATTGTCAATCTACATGTGTGTGTGTCTTATCGCAGCCTTATAACCTGAATCCCTGACTCCCTGTTCTTTGAATTGAGAAAGCTCCTCGGATGAGGAGCGAAATATGTCTTCTGTTACAAATAAAGTCCAGTTGTTTTTGTATTGAGCGGTTTTGAATTAGTCAAACATTGTTCCTCCTTGTCTTAACCAATGATTTATTTTCAGCTGCTGACATAAATAATATAAAGAATTCACTTTTGTTCTTTAAGTTAAACTACACAAAACACTAAAACCAGTCAAAACTTCATTGTTGTCTGCGGTTGTTTCAAGGAGGCAACAGAAAGGAAACTGCCAGAGGTTTTATGGTCAAAGGTTATAGATGTTTTTTTATTGTGCTTTATTATTGTGGCTGAGAAGTTTCTTCCCCTCTGCCCTGAGAACAAGAGGCTCGGTTGTCTCCCAAAACACCCTCTTATCTCGAGCTGAAGGACATGTATTTAATGCCCATGAACCATATGTTTGTGCAAACAATGCTATGTGAGGTGGCTGCAGTCGTTGAATGCTGCTGAACTGATGATGTATAAAAGTGAGCAGATAACGTGGCTCATGGCTCATTTCTGTGACTTGTCTTCATGTGTATATATTTATGTATGTTCATGTATGTAACATGTCCTGAAATCTGACCTTGCAACTAACATGCCAGATATAAATCTTCAGCTGCTGTAAATTGTGTTTATTCAATTCAATTCAATTCAAAAATACTTTATTAATCCCAGAGGGAAATTATTTGTTGTTGTAACTCATTATCCTCATTTCATTAAGAGATGTTATAGATGCTGATGCTGTAGACAGGAAGGATCTCTTGTAAAGGTCCATCCCACACTGGATCCCAAGAAACTGGCTGCAGATGCCGTCCGATCCGTCCACCCAGACTCAGCTGGCCTCTCGGTTCCCCTGGGCTGTAGGACCGCCTGAATGCCGGGCAGAACTCCTCCCAGAGCGATGGCCACTCCTCCCAGCAGTCTGCCGAGCTCCTCATAGCTGTGGACAGCCAACTGTTGGTGCTGAGGGACGATCCTGTCCTTCTGCTGTCATGAGCCGTGTTTCCTGCTAGTTCCAGGATCTCAGTGGTCAGACACTCGAGCAAAGCTGGCAGGTAGATGAGAATGCGTCCACAGAACATCCTTTCAACTCATTTGAGATTTGGGGCTGTAGTTGAGATACTATTTGAGCTTTTGAGATGTTAATCAGCTGCTGTTGGTTGTAGAAAACTGCCTTGTTGCCATGGTTACGCATCATAACAAATGTCCAAAACTAAAAAAGTTTCAGTAAAAATCCTTCCAGCTGCACAGCATCTGATACCAGAGGAAACAATCATCCAAAAAATGTGATTTACATCCAGAAAAGAGGAATTAAAGTTTCCAAAAGCAAATCTCAGATTGAAAGTCACAGAGCTGCTCTAACATGCAGCCACCTGGAGCGGCGCAATTCTAGAACTTTTCTTTTGAGTAAACATCAGAGAACAAGAATTTCTCCAACAGAAACCCAGACATCCCTCTCCCCATAGACACCCTCCAGTTCCTCCTGGAGGAACCAAAAGGTGTTTCCAGGCCACAGAGGAAATATAAACCTGCCTTTGGTTTCTAGGTCTGCCCCAGGGTCTCCTTTCAGCGGGATGTCCCTTGAAAACCTCCTAAGGGAGGCACCCAGGATGCATCTTCCTTTAGCTTTTTTTTTGGTCATGATCGAACTAGTTCTAGTTGTCGATTTGCGCCACTCAGGGGCATGATGGAGTAGCTCCGTTACATTCATTCTGAGTTATTGCTTTTGAAAACTAATTCCTCTTTTTTCCGGATGATTATTTCCTCTGGTATCGAATACTTTGCAGAAGGAAGGATTTTACTGAAACCTTTTTACTTTTGGGCATTTGTTAAGATGCGTAACCATGGCATCAAGGTGTTTTTTAACAAACAGCTGCTGATTAACATCTCAAAAGCTCAAATACCTCAACTACAGCCCCAAATGAGTTGAAAAGGAGGCTCCGTGGACGAATTCCTGTCAACCTGGCAGTTATTCTCGAGTACCTGACTGCCGAGATCCTGGAGCTGGTGAGAAACTCAGCTTGTGACAATGGGAGGACCAGGATCATCCTCCAGCACCTTCAGCTGTCTGTCCGTGGCAACGAGGAGCTCGGAAGACAGCTGGGAGGAGTGATCCTTGCTCAGGGAGGAATTCTGCCCAGCATTTGGACAGTCCTGCTGCCCAGGAGGACCGAGAGGTCCACCGGATCTGACAGTAAGCTGATCCAGGTCGACAGATCGATATCTGTGGCCAGATTCTTCAGATTCACTGCAGGAGATCCTTCCTGCCCACAGCTATCAGCATCTATAACAACTCTAGAATGAAACCAGGATGATGAGCTATGACAACACTTAATTTCCCTTTGGAATTAATAAAGTATTTTTGAACTGGAACTGGAATTGAATTGAACTCTCATGACCATAGTTGAAGGTTGAAACAGAGACGAGCAAGAGCTTTGTCCATTGGCTCATTGCTTTCTTCATCACAACCATCGGGACCAACACCCTCATTACTTGAGATGAGGCTCCAATCTGTTGCTCCGTCTCTTATCTATTTAAACCTTCAGCTCAAGACAAAAATTTAATCCTGATCTAGAGGGAACGTTCCACCCTGTTCCCATTGAGAACCATAGTCTTGGACTTAGAGGAGCTGACTCGCATTCCAGCCGTTTCACCCTCAGAGGCATACAGCCCCAGTGCATGCTGAAGGTCATGGTTCGAAGATGCCAGAATAACCACATCATCTGCAAAAAGAAGAGATGAGACCCTGAAGTTCAGAAACCGGACACCCTCCTCTCCTTGATGTTGAGATCCTGTCCATGAACACCACAAACTTGCCTGGAGACTAGATACAGCCCTGGCAGAGTCCAACCTGAATGGAGATAGAGCTCAACCTTATGCTGAGGATGTGTACATAACCCTTGTTTTGGTTTATCAATAACCAGACAACCTTTAAAGCAACCCAGGCACCCCATACTCCCACAATACACCACCACCACACACCCATACAGAATGCCTTGGGGAACTTGGTCATAAGATTTTTTGGGGTCTACAAAACACATGTAGCCCGGGGAGTGAAAGTCCCATGACTGCCTTAGCAACAGTGCAAGGGTGAAAATCTGGTCCACTATTCCATGAGCAGGACTAAAGCCACACTGCTCCTCTTGAATCTGAGGAGATTTGACAATCAGTCAAAGCCTCCCTTCTAACCCCCTGGAGTAAACTTTCCCAGGGAGAGCAAGAAGTGTGATTCCACGATAGCTGGAACACACTCTCTGGTCCTTTTTTCTTAATGAGTGGGGCGGCTGTGGCCGAGTGGTTAGAGCAATCGTCTTCCAATGCAAGAGTTGGGGGTTCGAATCCACCAGCAGTCACATGCTGAAGTGTCCCTGGGCAAGACACTGAACCCCTCATAGCCTCCGATGTGTGTCACATCAGTGTATGAATGTGATAAAGCACTGATTACTCTTTTTAGAATGATTTGTTCAATTAGCTTTCTAGAGATCTAGTAGAGAGCTGTATGAATGGGTAAATGAGGACACAAATTGTAGTATAAAGCACTTCGAGTGTCTTGATAAGAGAGAAAGGGCTATATAAGTATGGTCCATTTTACCATTTAATGGTAAATACCACCCCAGTCTGCCACTCTACAGGTGTCATCCCAGTCCTCCATTGGACATTGAAGAGACACCACTCTCTCAACTCTCATCAGTTCTACACCACACAAGTTAAAGGTCTGCCCATTGCTGGCACCCACCCCCACTCAGCCCAGTTTATGGGACCACCTTGTTCATGGTTCCAAGCGAACTGGCTCAAAGTGCCGATTTTGATATAAGCAGACAGCAGCTGTTGATTGGTCAGCGGAGCTACGTCACTGGATGACCTGCCCAGCAAAACTGCAAACTACATCTGAACCTCTACTTCCTCATCGTGTTGACGGACAGCGCCATATCCTGCTATCTCAGGATGGGAGACTGTGACGAAGTGAAGATTCAACACAATCTGCCGGCTTCCTTAGATAACTTTTACTAATTGGCTCTTATAATGCATCTGAATGTTTTTGTACAGTGCCCCGAGACGATTGTTGTTGTGACTTGCCACTACAGAAATTAATTGAATAGGATTGAATTGAACACAATGACCAGTTACAATACCACCCACTTTGCATTGACGATCCCGCCCACAGAGCGGGGAAACAAGTCACAGTGGCAAATCACCTACACCTGAGAAGAACCGATTAGACAAGAGCCGAGTGAAGTCGCATTTATCAATGGCAAAGCGGCTTAAGTCAAACTTGTTTCCAGTAAGTGTGTTATTATGCCAGTGCTGCCCTTTGTCACCAATTTGACAACCTTTCCACCTGAAAAGGGTACAGTTGGTAACTCTGGATCCAGAAATGATGGAGGAGTTCCAGTATGTCTCTGGATGAGTGGCAGTAGAACAGAGGGAGACTTTGATATTGGACTGAGGTGGCACCTGCAGTGAGGCTGTACCAGTTTGTGGAGGTGAAGCTCTTGTTTATTATTCATTCAGTCTCAGATACATTTGTTGCTTTCTGAAATTACAAGTTTGCTCAGTCACCTACCATTTATCTCTGTCAATTAAAGCGGCTAGTGTTGGACTTACGGCTCTTCTTTTTTGTCGTCCTTTTTTCCATCCTTCTTGTCATCTTTCTTATCATCCTTCTTGTCATCTTTCTTATCATCCTTCTTATCATCTTTCTTTTCATCTTTCTTTCTGAAACAGAGAAACAAAGGTAATTAAGGTAAAAATGGTTTATATTTTTTGACAGGACGTGGTTGACTTTCAAAGAAAATGTTACATTTTAATTGACATTTTGAAGTTTGCCTATCTGTTGTCACGGCTGTGTATTCAAAGACTTTTCAACTGCTACATCATCTGAGTCATAAATTGGTAAAAGTATGTCTATTTATCTTTTATTACACAAATTTGGTATTTTCTTTTGTCTCAAAATGTAAATAAATAAATAAATGTTAACCATCATTAGATCATTTTGGTTTATGTTATCCCTACTTGTTGGAAAAGCCCTCTTCTACAAATTTGAAATAGTCCACAACCCCCACTTGATAATCACAGTTGTAGCAGGTTTTGAGGCTTTGGATATATTTTTATTTAATAAGCAACGGGGCAGAAATGGCTCTTTTGATCATAAATTTACAGACCCTGGTCTAGACCTTAGAATTTGATTTAGCAGAAAAGCCAGGTGCTGAGAAGATGCTCTGGCATGTCAAGGTAATGGTAGATGACCTGCAAGCTGAATTATCATCAAACTTGAAGCAATGGCATCAGAGTGGGTTACAAAGGAAGTGGCGACGACTCTAAAAACGCTGGAAGAGAGTCGTTCAGCACTGTGGGGTTTGTCCTGATTTTGAGGGTGCGGTGAACGAGCATGGTGACCAGCTAACTAGCATGCAAGCTAATATGGTAAAGCTCTCTGTGGCGATGAAGGTTTTGAGTAAGACTTGGGGGTACTACATGAACTAATATTTGACTGGTGGATCTGTCAGGGGGCTTACAGGGTCCACAAAGTTTATGTCTGAGTCTTTTGGGAACTTCAGACTTGAGGAGAAACCCCGCCTGGACGGGGCCCACCGTGTGCTTTGCACTAAACTTTGTGATGGTGAGTCACCACGATTGATCATCATTAGGGTGACAGATTCAAAGCAGGAATATTATTCTACACCATGCTGGACAGGCTTCCGTTCTGCTCAATGGGTCAAGGGCACACCATTGACCAGACTTCACACCGACTGTGGCCAGAAGGAGGACAGTGTTCATCCAGGTGAAGAAGGAGCTTCATGACTGTCTTCTTCTTTCGGCTATTCCCTCTTCAGGGATCGCCACAGCAAGTCATCCTCCTCCACCTCACTCTGTCTTCTGCATCCTCTGTCCTCACTCCAACTACCTCCATGTCCTCTCTAACAGACATGTTTCCCTCCTCGTGGTCTTTGACTAACAGGAGCACAATTTTTGATGGCACCCTGTTTGTTAACAGCACCGGTGGTGGTCGTTGTTAACCCAGGCCTTGACCGATGCGGTATGGTGTCACTTTGCTGAACTCACATTATAGTTTTGGCAAAAGGGTTTTACTTCAGAAGCCCTTCCTGACACAACCCTCACCATTATACCTGGGCTTGGGACCAGAACCAGAGATACACTGGCTTGTGTTCCCTAGTGGCTGGTTTAAGGAGCTCCATGACTGTACTAGTGTTGCATCTGGCTCTGATACCTGACTACTCTACACATCTGGGCGGCTGTGGCTGAGTGGTTAGAACAGTCGTCCTCCAATGCAAGAGTTGGGGGTTCAAATCCACCAGCAGTCACATGCCAAGGTGTCCCTGGGCAAGACACTGAACCCCTCATAGCCTCTGATGTGTGTCCCATTGGTGTATGAATGTGATAAAGGTCTGATTAGTTTCATTAGAATGATTTGTTCAGTTGGCTTTGTAGAGATCTAGTATAGAGCTGTATGAATGGGTAAATGAGGCACAGATTGTTGTAAAGAGCTCTAAGTATCTTGATCAGATAGAAAGTGGCTGTATAAGTACAGTCCATTTACCATCAGCATGTTGAATGGCCAGACCAGTCCGAAGACAGACCTAGCCTTGTATTTTTGTTACTGATTATCTGCAGACTTGATGAACCCATAAAGGATCTTAGAACTGAAGAGCGATGTTTTAACGGTCTCTTGTTCTGGTATCTTACCCATCGTTGTTGTTGGAGTTATTCATGTTGTGCGAAGCCAGGGGCCACTGGCCATCCCTGTGGAAGAAACAAATATAAAAATGGTCCTTTTGTATTTTTTGGACAATAAGAATATAAATTAATTTCTAAAGGTAAACAGTTTTTATTGACTTACTTGTGTCATAAACCACAGATTAAATGAACCTTTTAGGAAATAACCATCTACAGCTGAACTAACATTTCAAGTCAACTTGATTCAAGATGGCCACCACATTCAGCTGACCTACGAAAACACAAAAATATCTTTAATTCCGCCCTGATGGAATTTCTTGGTAATTTAAAATTCAAAGAGATCCTTTTGGCTGGAGACCTCAACATTGATTGGTGTAAGTCGACCCCCCTCTGTGATAAATTCAAGGAATGTTGCCTGTCTCTCAATCTTACCCAACTGATCAACTCTCCCACTAGATTAAATAAAAACCGTCCTGAAAAATCTTCCATCTTAGACCTGTTTCTAACTAATATGCCTCACAAATTCCCTGGTACAGGTGTATTAGCTGATCTTTTGAGTGATCATTGTGTGACAGCGGCTTTGAGAGATATTAAACTTCCACCTTCTAAGCCCAGATTAATTCAAAAAAGGGATCTGAAACATTTCTGTGAACAGTCATTCCTCTGGGATCTGTCTCACTTTGACTGGCATCGTATTCTGTTAACTGATGACGTGAACTCTGCTTGGAACTATTTCTATAATAATTTCATTTATTTCCTGAACTTACATGCTCCTTTTCATCAGTTCAGAATAAAGGGACGAGACAGCCCCTGGTTTACTCCAGAGCTAGCTGACCTCCTGCACAGGAGAGATCATCTTTGGGCCGCAGCGAGAAAATCTGACTCAGACACTGATTGGTTGAGTTTTCGACAGATGAGGAATAAATGTACAACTTCTGTCAAAGCAGCAAAACGCAACTATTTCTTATCTCAGACCTCCAAAAATCTAAATGACCCTAACAGATTCTGGAAAACCATCAAATCTCTCTCAGGCAGCCCCCAATCATCTGACCTCCCATCACAACTTCTCGTTAACTCTGTTCCTGTGTCAAATAAGCACGAGATCCTGAACTGTTTCAACAAACATTTTGTTGCTTCTGGTTCTTTATTTGACACAGTTACTAATGGAAGATCAGCCACTTCACTTAATAACCAAACTTCTTCAAATCAAATCCCTCCTACAAGTCAATCCTCAGTTAATCACAGCTTCTCTTTTTCTCCATTCTCAGTCAGTGAGGTCAATAAACTGTTAAAAGATCTTGATCCTAAAAAATCTGCAGGTCCAGATGAACTTCCACCTTATTTCTTAAGGCTGGCTGCTCACATCATCACAGTCCCTGTGACCCACATCTTCAATCTCTCCATAAGACAAAACTCCATCCCAGACACTTGGAAAACAGCCTTTGTTCTTCCTTTGCTGAAGGGAGGTGACCCCCCCTCACTGAACAACTATCGACCAATCTCTAAACTCTGCATTTTAGCCAAGGTTCTAGAAAAACTGATAAACTCTCAAATCAAAAATGACCTGGACTCATTTAACATCTTACCTCCACATCAATCTGGTTTCAGGAAACAACACAGCACAACCACTGCTTCACTGAAGGTTCTTAATGACGTTGTTGAAGCACTGGATGCTAAAGATTATTGTGCTGCACTTTTCTTAGACCTGTCTAAAGATTCTGACACTGTGGATCAGAACATCTTGTGTCATAAACTCAGAAATCGGTTTCTCAGAACACACCATTGGTTGGTTCTCTAACTATCTCTCAGACCGGAGGCAATGTGTTCAACATAATGGTACTTCCTCCAGTTATTTAACAGTCAACAATGGTGTACCACAAGGCTCAGTCTTAGGACCCACCCTCTTTACAATCTACATACATATTGTAGGTAAAAACATCCCTAATGCATCCATACACTTCTATGCTGACGACACAGTTGTTTATTGTCGAGCTAAAACTGTTACTAAGACTTTCCAGCTTTTGAAATCTTCATTCAACTACATCCAGACTGATTTGTTTCACCTCAAACTTGTCTTAAATGCTGACAAAACCAAAGGGATGCTTTTTTCAAATAGGAAGTTGGTCCCAGCAGTTCTTACTCCGATTTTATCCTCAAATGGTGTCCCCATTGAGTTTGTTGATTCCTATAAATATTTGGGTATCTTGGTCGACTCACATCTCTCTTTTAAGCTCCATGTGGAAAACTTGGTAAAGAAACTGAAAGTTAAACTGGGTTTCTTTTTCAGAAACAGATCCTGTCTAACCCTGAATGCTAGAAAACACCTTGTATCTGTGACTTTCCTTCCCTCCATTGATTTTGGTGATATTATTTACATGAACACTCCTACAAGAACCCTGCAGATGTTGGATGCTGTAGATGTTGGATGCTGCAGATGTTGGATGCTGTCTATCATGGTGCACTAAGATTCATAACTGGCTGTGATTATCGTACCCACCACTGCACCCTGTATCCACTGGTTAACTGGACATCATTAACTTCACGCAGACTCTCCCACTGGTATATTTTCATCTTTAAATCACTTCCTGGTCTGCTGCCTTCATACATCTCCTCCTACATGTCTCTGTGTGAGTGCAGCTACAGCGTGCGCTCTCAGGACATCATTACCTGCAGTGTTCCCTCAGTGAGGACTGAACTAGACAAAAGGACCTTCTCCTACTCCGCTCCTGTTTCCTGGAATATCTTACAAAAAGCTTTGAATCTCTCGACCTTGACCTCTCTAAGTGTCTTTAAGAATCTGTTGGACTCCTGGCAGGGTCCAATGCAGACATGTTCCTGTTTTTAGTTTTATACATTTGTCTTGGAATCTAGCTGTTTTTTTGTTACCTTTTCCTTTTAGCCATCCTATTTGTAAAAAAAAAAAAACTGCAGTATGCCTTTTTATAACTGTTTATTGTTGTTGCTGTTGTCCATTGTTGTCATCTTTCTTTGTTGAAATCAGGTCTCTCTTGTAAATGAGTCCTCGAGGCTCAATGGGATTACCTGTATAAATAAAGGTTGAATTGAATGAACTCAGCCTGTTCTGGAGATATTGAGCTCAAGTTTGTTGTAGTTGCAGCTGAGAGACATCCTCAAGTTGACGATGAAGAATTTTTCAGTATTGTGTGCTGGTTTTAATCTTGTTGATTTTTTTGGTTTAGAACCAGGGCAGCACGGTGGTGCAGTTGGTAGAGCTGCTGCCTCTCATCGAGCAGGTTACCCTGGTTCAGATCCCAGTCCGGGGGCCTTTCTGGGTGGAGTTCTTTTTGTGCATGTGTCGGTTTTGTCCAGGCACTCCAGTTTCCTCCCACAGACCAAAAACATGTTGGACTGACTGGTAACTCTAAACTGAACCCTAGGTGAGAGAGAGAGAGTGAATGGTTGTCTTGGTTGTCTCTATGTGTCCCTGTGATGGACTGGAGACCTGTCCAGGGTGTCCCTGCTTCTCGCACAGCGACCCCCGTGACCCGAAAAGGAAGACACGGGTAAAGATAATGGATGGATGTTTCGACTCAACTGTCTGTCAGCAAAATATCCATTAAACCACTGGATGTGTTTGATTGAAATTTTCAGGAACTGTTAATTGGATGAGCACCTACAAAAATAAATACAATTTTGGAGTCAACCTGATTTAGGATGACTGCCATGGCCAGCTGTTGTTTTTCTTTTGGCTGCTCCCATCTCTAGGGATTGCTACGGTGAGCCAACTTAAAGATTTGGCAGTTGGTTTACAATACATGGACTTGAACCTGCAGCCTCAGGATGACTGTGGTGCACACCACTGAGCTACCATGGCCACCTGACCTCATAAAACACATAAATGGCTATAACGTAGTCAGTTTTACAAAAATGTATCTAACGTTTAGACTAATAGTAACTAACACATAATCCAAGTACTACTGATTGTGTGAGATGTTTGCCTAAAGTTCTGGAGTCAATCCTGTTTGTTAGTTCATGAACCACTGGATGGATTTGACTGTTTTAGAATTGCTGGACATCCACAACTGATTAAGTTTTGTTAACAACCACATTCAACATGGCTCTCACAACTAACTGACATTAGCCAGCACAAATATGGCTCAAACTCGGTCAGTTGTACAGACATGGAGCTAAAATTTGAGGTAATAGTAGCCGAGAGTCGTGGAGAACATATTCTGAGCAGAAACAGAGCAGTTCTTCTCGAGGTTTGTCCAAAATTGTTACAATCCTATCGTTTCTCAGCATGACTCTAATCTAAAACTCTGGTGGACATTAGGCGTTACATCTGTGCAAGTCTGAATTCATATTTACAGAACGCTGATGTGGTTTGGGTGTAGGACTCACCTGGTCCTGCTCCTCCTGATGACATCTGTTCTGGGTCTGCTCAGGCTGGACTCTCCTGGACCAACGCTGCTTCTCCAAAAGTGCATCATGAGTCTTTGGTAAAAGAAACATCAACACATGATGTATTTAAACTGTGACGATCTAAACGGCTCTAATTATGGTTTAAATCATATCTATCTGATAGACTACAGTTTGTAAATGTAAATAATAAATCTTCTTCATACACCAAAGTTAGTCATGGAGTTCCTCAGGGTTCAGTGTTTGGACCAATATTCTTTCCTTTATATATGCTTCCATAGGTAATATTATTAAACAGCATGGGATAAGTGTTCATAGTTATGCTGATGATACGCAGTTATATTTATCCATGAAACCCGATGAGTCCAATCAGTTACTTAAGTTATAATCATGTCTTAAAGATATAAAAACCTGGATGACCCTTAATTTTCTGCTTTTAAACTCAGGCAAGACAGAGGTTGTGGTTTTTGGACCTGAGCAACACATTTTGCAGTCTTTCGCCATCTCTGGATGGCATTAATTTGGCCTCCAGTTCTGAAGTTAAAATCTTGATCAGGATATGTCTTTTAACCCCGACATTAAAAATGTTACCAGAACCTCTTTCCTCCACCTGTGTAACATCACTAGGGTTAGGGTTAGATTTGATAGCAGAGATCATATTTCTCCAGTTTTAGCTTCTCTCCATTGGCTCCCTGTCAAATCCAGAATAGAATTCAAAATCTTACTTCTAACCTACAAAGCTCTCAACAACCTAGCTCCATCTTATATTACAGATCTTATTGTTCCATGTTTTCCTAACAGAGCACTTCTCTCTCAGACTGCAGGTTTACTTGTGGTTCCTAGAGTTTCCAGCAGCAGAATGGGAGGCAGATCTTTCAGTTCTCAGACTTTACGATTGTTTCTATTCACTGTCATGAAGGTTTGTCCCAAACTGAAAACCTGCTGTTTTAGTGTGTGGGAGGACACCGGAGTCCCCAGAGAAAACCCACATGTGCACAGAGAGATCATACAAACTCATCACAGAAAAGCCAGGAGGCTTTGGCAACCATTCATAAATCAACATGTTCGGCTCTTTCAAAATTATAGCTAGTATTTTACTGCGTTAATCTACACTTAGCTACTCTTTTAATGCTTTTAGCTATTGTCTGTTAACATTTAACTATATATTAACTATTAACAACTAGTAACTATTACTAGCCTTTTGCTGCTTTTCAATAGCATTCTGATAATTTTAGGTTTTAGCTGGTCTTTTTTTGCTACTTTTGGCTTCTAGCTAGCCTTTTAGCTAATTTTATTTTTAGCAAGCATTTAGCTATTTTTTGCTTTTAGCTAATCTTTTGTTACATTTAGCTAGCTGGTTAGTTAGCCTTTAGCTTTTAGCTAGTTTGTTGTTGTTGCTTTAGTTCTCCTTTTACTCAGTGTTTGTAGCTATAACGTTTAATAGCTTTTAGCTAGGGTTTTGTTGTTTTGAACTTTGAAAGTAATGTTATGCTACTTCTGGCTTTAGCTAGTGTTCTGCTCCTTTCAGTTTTTACCACAAAGTCATTCAGCACTCTGCATTTTTCACAGAAAGTCTTAATTTCTTGAATTTGATTTAAGTCTGACTTTTATGAACTTCTTTAGTGTGTCTGTTTGTTTTACAGAGGCCTGAGATATGAACATAATTCAGGAACAGATGAGTACTGTGGGTAAAACCAGTTTGTGTTTTAGCTCCTTATGTCATTTAGCTGCTTCTCCACACAGTTTACTGAAATCCTTTTCTCCCAGATTACATCAACTAAAATTAGACTTTCAGCTCAACGTGACTCGTTAAGCTCAAGCTGCTCTCTGTTTTGTTACAGCCGACTGAGGAGAGTGACTTTACCTGAATATGAGTGAACCAGATGATGATGATGAAGATGATTATGAAGTCACACCATTAAACAGCATCCAGATCAGGCGATCCCAGCATGATGCTTGTCCTCTGACAGAATAAGCTTCATCCTCTGCTGCAGGAGGAGCTGCTTGTCTTCATCCACCAACTCAGCAGGAGGAGGAGCAGGAGCAGGAGGAGGAGGAGCATTTGATGAAGGTTGTGTTAGCTAGTGTTAATTGAGTACAATCCTACCCTGTTTTGGTTTCAAGCTGTTTAAAATAAAAACTGTAAATCTGGATGACCTGACTGAAAAATGTTGGATTGTATAACTGGATTATTGAGCATGGACTTTGTTGTAAATCTGGAGGGTTTTTTTACTTGTCACCTGATGTCCCACAGGGCTCTGTACTTGGTCCACTTCTGTTCAGTAAGTTTATTATTAATTAGATCCCCCTCTGTGTGTGAATAACTGGACATATTTCAATGAATCTTTCAGGAAGTAATCAGTGACATCTACAAGTGATTGATTTGGAGACAATTCAAGATGGCTGCCACAGTCGACAGACATTAAAAATCAGAGTCAGAGTTTCTTTATTGTCATTCGCACCTCATGTGGTACATGTGGTGGAGCGAAATTATGTACACAGGGTCCCAGTTACATCCAGCAATAAAATGTATAAGAAAAACAGTAATAACATCTAAGATATGAACTAAGAAAAACAACTAAATATACACTAAAATACAAACTTAATGGAGTAGATTTTTACAGATTTTAAGTTAAAATTTGTTGAATTTGTTGTGGAGCTGAGACTGTTCCCCCAACTCATACTCTGAATGTGACTTCTTGTATGCTATTTTCTAGGTTTAATCTAAAAACTTGATCATTTTTTAATATAGGATTATCTTATTCCAAACCTTAGCTATGAAAGATGGAGAGGGATATCCATTCTTTCAAGAAAAGCTAATCCTTTAATTTTTACACCTGGTACAAACTACTGAAGAGGTTTCCTGATACATGCTCAATAATCCATATAGAAAAATCGAACAGGTCCTCTGGATGGATTCAAAGAATAAAAATTTACAATTAAATTAAAAATTAAAAACTTGTTGAAACGTTTTGTCTTTTATCCAAAAGACTTCTTCAGTGTGAGATCTTGTAACATCTCTGTCTAATAAACAGCCACTGTTTATATGACTCTTAAAGTCAAAGTTTCTTTGTCATTCGCACCACATGTGGTACATGAGGTGGAACGAAATTATGTACACGGGATCCCAGTTACATCCAACAAAAGTATAAATTGTAAAGAAAAACAGTAATAAGATCTAAGATATGAACTAAGAAAAATGTTACACTACACGCTAAGCACTAGTAGTACAAAAACAATATGCTGAACAGCAGCACTAACATGAGTCTGTGTGAGCAGATGAGTACGAATGAACGCAGCAGCATGAAATAATCAGCAGCATGAGATCAGCAGTCAAGTGGCATTACAGTGATTATTTCACAGTGATTTTTCTGGTTCGATATCCATGAGTCTAACAGCCTCAGGGTAGAAGCTGTTCCTCAGTCTAGTGGTTCTTAATGCTCCGCAATCTCCTGCCTGAGGGGAGCGGGGCAAAAAGTGTGCGTGCTGGGTGAGTGGGGTCCTTCATGATGCACCTCCTGCCTGTAGCTGGACTCATCATTGTTTGTGATGCATCCCACCACCGCTGTATCATCTGCAAACTTTACAATGTGACAGCCTGGATGGGTAGCTGCACAATCTTACGTGAGCAGAGTGCACAGGAGGGGGCTCAACACACATCCCTGAGGAGAGCCAGTGCTGAGGGTTATGGTGGAGGAGGAGAGGTTGTGGATCCTCACAGACTGCAGTCTGTTTAAGAAGTCCAGGACCCAGTTGCAAATGGAGGGGCTTAGTCCTAGTGTGAATAGTTTGTCCATCAGGGTTTTGGGGATCATGGTGTTGAAGGCGGATGTGAAGTCCACAAAGAGCATACGGACGTAGGAGTCCTTCTGCTCCAGGTGGGTGAGAGCAGTGTGGACCACAGAGGAGATGGTGTCCTCTGTTGATCGATTCTCGCGTTGTGTAAATGGTAAATGGACTGTACTTATTTAGCGCCTTTCTATCTTATCGAGACACTCAAAGCTCTTTACAATAATTTGTGTCCTCATTTACCCATTCATACAGCTCTATACTAGATCTCTACAAAGCTAATTGAACAAATCATTCTAAAGAGACTAATCAGAGCTTTATCACATTCATACACTGATGGGACACACATCAGAGGCAACGAGGAGTTCAGTGTCTTGCCCAGGGACACTTCAGCATGTGACTGAACAGACCCCCCAGCACCAGACTCACCTCACCACCGGATGAAGAGCATCTCAGCGTGACCTCAGCAGAAGTAAGGAGTACCTTCAGGAGCATTTATCCGCACAAGGTAACCGGCCCAGACAACATCCCCAGAAAACCAATAAAGTCCATGCTCAATAATCCAGGTATACAATTCAACAATTTTCAGTCAGGTCATCTGGACAGTTTCTTTTTTTGCTGAAACATTTCACCTTCCATCCAGAAGGCTTCATCAGTCAAGGAAACACACAACACAACTGATTCTTCCCCCAACACCTTACTCCAAACTGGAACAAACCAGTTATGTTGGTGCTAAGATGGTGTCTTTGGCACGCCCCCTCCTCCTC